AGTTAATTTTTAATGTTTTATTTTCCTTTCTTGTCCTTTACCACTTACTATTCATCTCAACACAAGTCAACAGTATATTACAGAGTCTCTGGCAGATACGCACAACCCTTCAACAAAATCTTTGTGCACCATTTAATATCGGAAACCTTGAGAACAGACGCAAAGTATGATGTATATTTTTAAAATGTTTAAACCTTTCAATTATGCTTTTTTAAAACATAACTAATACACAATTAATTAAAATATAATAGTAAGACTTAAATAAAATTTAAACTGTACCTGTAACTATAACATATTTAGGTAAGAAACAACCATAAGTGCTATAGTCGATCAAGCAGCCAAAAATACAACATTCAGTTACATGTACTCCGTGACGACAAGTGCACACCAATTTCAAAATAACCATTATAGGATTATAGTTTAAATTGAGCTCTTGCTAATGATTATACACTTGTATATGTATCATCTACTTGTAGGTTACAATGTATAAACAAATCTGTTGAAGGTGGGTGCAGAAAAGTATTTAAAGGGGTACCCATGTTTAAACGGTTAAGTTTTAGTTTAGAGGATGGAACAGCCAAGATTGCCCAATATGTTCCTTCTTGTCCCTAAAGATCATGTTATAACTCTCTGCTTTCTTCCATCCAGCTATTTTTGTATTCAATGGGCTAAATTAAATCCCATTCCTACAGAAATTTCTTTTTTTTCAAAAAGCCTATTATTTGACATCTTATAAAATGCTCTCAGAAAATCAAAATCTACCAAATCTACACCCTTACTCTCATCTACATAAGCAGCAACCTCTTCAAAGAATGTCAGAAAATTAGTAAGGTAAGATATTTCCCAAGTGAAACTATACTGAGTATCCAATAAAAGTATAATCTTTGTTAAATTACTTTTCAAAGCACTACTATCCTTATGTACATTTTTTATAAGAGTCCCACACAACTTTTAATATACAATGGAGTGTGTGTGGATTTTATCATTAGGTAGCTAACTTCTTGAATAAAAAAAAGAGCATACATTAATAAATCCAGGAATTATATCATGTATAGTATGCAACGTGTTTCAATGTATACTGTAGTATGATGTTGCTGTAAATGATGAATTGAACCAAGTCTCATACTTGCTAATGTAGCTGGCTGTAAATCTACAAAACTCGAGTTTCCCATTTCTCTTAAAACTGTAAGCTTGTTCCAATTTAATAGCATTTGACTTAATCTGGTGATGAAATTATAAGTAGATCATTAAGGCTAAATGCTAGGCTTACATTAATATAAAAACAAGCAGACTAAGTGGTTAGACTTGTGGGATCAAGTCAATGGTAAAAGAAAGCTTTTGGAATCAATGGTTTACATTTAAATAGGTAAAGGATGGCTTGTTTGCAAGGGCCATTAATTTTGCTGTAAGAGCAGCTTTAAACTACAGGGCCAAGATGAACTAACTGCATAAAAAATGAAATGTAGAGAAAAGTGTAAAGTAGGAATAAAATATGAAAGTACTTTAAAGGGCAGAATAAATTTCACTATTGTAATGCTAGAAGAATAAAAAATAAAATAGATGACTTGAGATCACATTGTCAGAAAAGAGGATTGTGATGTAATGGGAACTGAAACTTGGTTACATGTAAATAATTTTGTTGACAGAAATTTCTTTGAAATAGAGGATTATATGCTTTTTAATAAGGATAGTGTGTTAAGTAGGGAATGACTTTATATGTAAAATGTGAGTTACATTCTGTTGAAATTGAGGATATACATGCTAATAGCAAGGAGACTGAATCCATTTGGGTTTCTATTAGCAAATATAAAGGGAAAAGGCTTTTAGTGGGAATTTGCCACAAACCACCAGGACTATTCCTCATCTTGAACACCTGATAGATGAAAACAAGACCAAACAAGATAATCACATTAATTCTGAGCTTGTTACAAAAAAATTGTGAAATTTAAAAGAATAGTAAATGTCCTGGGCCAGATAACATTTCCCAAGGGTTATGAATGAGGTCAATTGCTACTATCTTTTTTTGTATGTCCAAGAATAGTAGGGAAGTGCCAGAGGATTAGAAGTTAGCTAATGTTACTCTTCTTTTCAAAGAAGGTGATAATTATAGGCCCTCAGTTGTGGCCTATTAGTCTTACATCAGTTGTGGGAAGAGTTTTGGAAATTTTGATAAAAGATGCTTTGCAAAGTCATTTAACAAAGTTTAGAATTTTATTGGATAATCAACATAGTTTCACTAAGGGAAAATCTTGGCTTACAAATCTTATTAGATTCTTTGAAAAGTTCACTGCTTATGTAGATGAGGGTAATGGTTTAGATCTGGTGTATTTGAATTTTCAGAAAGCATTTGACAAAGTGTCACATAAAAGGCTGGTAAAAAAGTTATAACTATAGGTGTGGGGGATAATTTATGTAACTGGATTGAAGAGTGGCTGGATAGAGCTCAGTCAAACTGGCTTAATGTCACAAGTGGGGTATCTCAGGGCTCAGTCTTAGGACATTTGCTGTTTTTGATTTACATTAATGACACAGATGAAGGACTGGTCAATAAGTTATTTAAATTTGCTGATGATATTAAGGTCTTGGGTGCTGCTGGCTGTGGGGCTGCTGCTTTATAATAGGGTTTAGATCATTTAGTGAGTTGGGCAAAAAAATGGCAGATATGTTTTAGTTATAATAAATGCAAGATAATGCACATGGGTTATCATAATTGAAATTATAAGTATAGTTTGGATGGGAATAACCTTAACAGTGCTATAAAAGAAAGAGATTTTGGTTTAGTTGTTGATCAGTCTCTTAAGCCATCCAAGCAGTGTGTTGTTGCTAATGGTCGGGCAAATAGCTATCACCCAGTATTCCAAAGACCCAATATTCACAGATTTTTGCAATATATGTCAAAACTGAATGAATAAATAAATTTTAGGTAAATAACCAATGAATGCAATCTGAAATGAAAAGTTTAAGGGGTACATCTTAGCAGAATTTTGAGAAAAGTCACCCCTGATGGTTTGTTCTCATTTTAAATACAAAAAACAGAAATAGTTGGTTGAAATTGGCACTGTGGTGTACAGCTTATTTGCAACAGCTCGGTGTCAAAATAATTTTATTGAATGAAAGCTTTCAACATGTTTAATGAGTTGAGGATATAACATTCATTACCACTACACTATAGAATAAGAATCTTGAATGTCAATTCTCTTCGAAGAGCTAGATTCCCAAATCCAATCCTGATGCATAAATATGCAGGATCTGCAGCTACCAATATACATGCATCATAGAAAATAATCTAGAAGAAATGATGATAAACATTATCCATTCATGAAAAATTGCAATCTTTTAGGTTTTGTACTAGGGTGTTTTTGTCATAAAATGTCACCAATTTAACCAAACAAACAATTTAACCTTTTAACTATTAAAAAAGAAAAATCTTCAGACTATTGGACCTTCGGAGTAATGTGCCTTTGGACTAAGAAACCATCACCAGGTAAATAGGATTTTAGGTTGTATCTACGGAAATATTGAATACAAGTTTAAAGAGGGTATGATTTCATTGCATTTGCAGGGAGGGACTCACCGTTTAGGCCACATTTGGAGTATCACGTTCGGTCTTGGGCTCTTTACCGTAGAAAGGACATTGAATTGTTGTAAAGGGTTCACAAGAGGGCTACTAGTATGGCACCTGGAATGGAGAGGTTTTCATACAAGGATAAGATAAGATAAACTGATTTCTCTTGTAAAATGAAAGAGTTAGAGAGGATCTGACTGAGGTGTTTAAGATTGTTAAGGGAATTGATAATGTTGATGCATCATCTTTTTTTCATACTGAATGGTAGGACTTGTGAGCATAAATTTAAATTTGGCAGGGTAGGAGTCATCTAACACTAACAGAGTGGTTGGCCTTTGGAACAGGTTGCCTTCTGATGTTGTGGAGACAGTAAATTTAACCACATGAATGATAAGAGCTGGCTTTCAGGTTTTTATATTTATTTCAATTTAATAGTTTTAGTTTAGTATAGAGGATGGGAGAGCCTAGATCATTAGTTGGACCAACAGGTCTCTTGTCCCTATATATTATGTTATGTCAAATATCGAATAATCCGTTATGTCAATCTCAGCAAATATAATCTGTTGATAGCAAGAATATTTCAAGCATCAATCATACTTTCTCTTCACACTTTTATTTTTAAGTTTCAAGCCAATTTCCAGTCAGTTTATTTAATCAGGTAAAAACTTTGGATTCCAGTGATGGGGACAACGTTATGCGTTAATGTACAAATACAATGTATAACTATAAATTATATCACTAATCGCATTAACTACCGATGGTGAATAAAAGATGTGACGCAAAATCTTAATATCAAATTATTATACACACACATATATGTATGTACGTATGTATATAATATCTACTTACTTAGACTTACCCTTTTCATAGGCTTAGCCTTAAGTTAACTTAATCATAATGATCCTAATTATCTACATACCGCTTCAGAACACTTGCCTAATGCTTTTGGAAATATCGTAAGCCGCGAATATGTACTTTCTAACGATTTCATCCTATGATAATTAATAATAAAATTAAAATGTTCGAAATTTTACAGTGACCCGAAAATCAAATGAAGCATGTATACAAAACTGTCACGATCATGTAACACATTACTCTACCTTTACTGTACGCATGTGGGAAACTTTCGTTAATGAGATACAACTACAATGCTTACCTTTTAAATCAAATTATTTTTAACTGACTTATGCTTTTATTATTATATTATATTTAAACAATGACCGATTTTTTACAATAACTCTCAACTGTACATATGGTGTATTAACTAATTTATTTTTAACCTTGTTTTTAACAACTACTTATGCAGATTTCATCCCCTAGTTACCATAAATCACTTAAAAAATTTTTTGTCAGTAGTACAAGAGTATTTTCTTAGGCTCATATCCTGGAAAAGTTGCAATTAAATAATTAACTTTTTTAAGCACATCGCACGATAAACATATTTATTTTAATTTTTATAATTTTTTCAGGTCTCCCATTTGAACCTTCGTCAAGTGTTGTTGTAAATGTTACAGACAATTCACAATAGAACATTGTTGTTGCCATAGGTATGGAATATTAGCTATATAAATATAATAGTATTTTATTCTCGTGTATAAGTGCGCTAGACAATGAATCGATATAGAATTGCAGACTGACACAGAAAGAGATGACAACTGAGTCTGGAATTTTTACTGAAATTTACTGGAAAATAATAAACGACCAGAGACGTAACAAATTGATGTCAGAAGTGGGACTGAAAAAAAAAGAGAGAGAAGAAAAAAAATGGAAACGAGAAGTGGCAAATCAAACTACAGCTCAGCAGATTTGATG